ACCCCCAAATATTCAAATCCTCCCAAACTATCCCCACCCCCACCCACCCCCAATTATCTACTAGCATCAGCCATAAGTGTCATTAAAAGATTTAGGAAGACAATAACTAGTGACCCCTCTGGCATTACAAAAACATGGGAAGGCAATGACATTTGCAAAGACCCAACCAAGTATATAGGTTTCATTTGCAACAATAACAAAGTTGTTGCTGTCAATTTCAATGGTAGAAACTTTAAGGGAAATCCTCTGTCTCTGAAAGATTTCATTAATGGAATCCCGACTCTGGAAATCTTCCATTCCAACTCCAACAACTTCACTGGAGAAATACCCAATAATATATCGACCCAGAGTATTCCTAATCTTTTCGAACTTGATTTGAGCAACAACAAATATGTTGGTTTTTTTCCAAAAGCTGTTCTTGGTGCCACCAGGTTAACTTATTTGGATCTCAGATTCAACCAGATAAAAGGTCCAGTAAACCCTCAAGTATTCACACTGGACCTTGATATTCTTTTTCTCAACAACAATTGTTTTTCCGGGAAAATCCCGGAAAATTTAGGCCGTACTGCTGCCCTGTATCTTACATTAGCCAACAATAAATTCATTGGTGAAATCCCCAAAAGCATTGGTCATGCCAAGGGAAACCTCCTTGAGGTTCTCTTCTTCAATAATCAACTTACTGGTTGCTTGCCTTATGAGATAGGCATGTTGAAATTGGCATCTGTATTTGATGCTAGTAAGAATAAATTAACAGGTCCGATCCCGCAATCTTTCGGGTGCCTTGAGCAAATGGAAGTGATGGATCTGTCTTACAATCAATTGTATGGGGAAGTACCGGAAACATTGTGCAAGATCAGTAGCTTGGAGGAACTCACTTTGAAATACAACTATTTCACACAGATTGGACCGGAATGTCGGAAGTTGGTAGAGGAGAATGTACTTGATATTGGCATGAATTGCATTATTGATCTTAAGAACCAGAGAAAGCCGGAGGAATGCGAAACTTTCTTTTTACAAAAGAGAAATTGCCGGGACATGAAATCACTAAGCTATGTACCTTGTAAGATTCATGACTTCTCTTCTAGGAATAGTTCTTCAGGTCGAGCTCATACCACCGGCGATGCAAGGACTCGTTCGACTACTTATGCTGCCCTCAAGAAACCTCACCACTGATTTATCCACCATTTATAATTTTCATAATTATAATAGCAATGTATGTTAGATTGGGACAACAAGTAGCCCAATTTACAACACTGTTGACTTGTATTTACTTGTTTTATGTATTGAATTTGTAAGTAAAGAGTATAATTAAGCTTCAGTCTTTTGGACCAAGCTGTTGCGTCAATTAGATCCACATTAAGAAAATAACATGATTTTTACTCTTTAGGAATTAGGATCATCTGCTCTTCATCCGTGATTTCGTTTTTGCAGAGAACAAGCATAAGATAAAAAGAAGAAAAAAAAAAAAAGAGAATTAGGAAGTAATCTTGTACATAAAGACATGAATTCCTGAATTTAGATCAAAAGGGAATTTTAGAAATTCGATTCGAGCATTAGATTTCATCTTCCATGATGGCATCATAACTGCAAATAAATAATAATACTAATAATGACAAAAGAGATCGTCCATATTATGGAATACTCATCCCATGTGGACATGTTTTCATAATTTCAAGGCAACAAAGTTAATGCATTAAAACATTTAATGCTTTAATTTAGCAGCCATACTGTGTATTCAACTTCTATCTACTTCTCTGAGTACGAATTTTCAAAGCTTGCTGATACCTGAAAAAATAAGAGGAGACAGAATAAAGAGTTCATAATAACTACATTTATTGTCTGTTCTTGATTCACCACACTTCCATCGTAGTGTTTGAATAGATATTGTTAATTTCTCTAGAACTATAGTACTATTATTTTATTAGATCATCGAATCCATAGCCATGACTAATACTAAGCACAGAATTTAACCTCATATCTCCGGACAGTTATATATGAGACAACGTAACATTTCATAAAATCCATTCGATAAAAAAAAAATAGTTCTGTATACAACTAGCTGCAGTAAATGTGCATAGACTTTGACAGAAGTAGTTGCAGGAGAATTCATTAAGCAAAGCCAGAAAGAAAAATAGAAAGAGAGTTATTTAATTTTTGTACCTGGACCCTCCCTCCTTTCCTCTAGCATAATAAATTCAAAATTCCACACATCTTTAAATTATGAAAATCACGTTATGACACAATTAATACATTGATGTTGGGACCAAGAAGAAGTTGCTACTGGTACCAAATTATATATGGTTGCGACGACAGAACGTATAGCTGTTGGGATCCATTCTTCCTATAACGAAATGTCCCAACATATCCTTCGAATTATTCACCAAATTCTCTTTACATAAGAACTCTTCACTTGTAATTCTATCCACTTTTTGATTAAAATCATGCACAAAAACATGTGTTTTCGGATTGCCAAACTTCTTGCTCCGTGCCAGTACTCCAGCCGTAAAAATAGCTGACATTCTACCGGGTGCCTCTGGCCAGTACCCTCTTGGTCCATCAACCAAAATAACATCCCAATTCACCTCATAGAATTGGTTAGGAAGATCATTTATCCCCAGTTTACACTCCGAAAACAACAAATTCTGCACCGGCTTACACTCGTTCCGTATTTGTTCCTTCACTGCTCCAATCAACTCTTTCATTTCGCTCAATTTTGTTGTATACTGCACGTCGTAAGCTTCAATTTCAGGGTATTTCTCCTCAATGTAAGCAGCGTAATATCTATTTTCGTCTATGAAAACTGTTCTCCCATTGTGATTCAACGCTTTCCATAGAAGTGTCTCGTGTGTAAGGCCGAAAACAAGGAGATTACAAGGTTGTTGACATTGTCGGAGAACATCAGCAATTTGTTTGATATCTGTATACGACATACGTTCAGTGTTGTTGGAATTTGATGCATAATGTGTAAGAGCCCTTACAACTGCTTTTGACAATGGAGGATTAGTTGAAGCAGTTATGGAAGAGACCGCGGCGACAGAGGATGTGGTGAAGGATTCTCTAGTGTAAATAAGAGTAAGGAGGAATGCAATAGTGAGGAATGAAATAAATGCAAGAACCCATAAACGATACGAGGTTCCTTGTTTCTGGATATAAGGATGTAAGAGTATGAGTTTTGTGTTATTGCCAATATTGTTCTTCATGTTTCTGTCCTTGTTAGGATGATCAAAATGATATATATATATTTATTTTTTTGTGAAAAGATTGAGTCAGAAATTTATGCAAAGTAGAATGGGTTTTAGTTAGGGAAGGGGGCTGAGCTTTAAAGAAACATGGACATGAGGTTTGGCATGATAGTATTAGTGTATGTAGTTTTATATGATAAACACAATTTCAACAGTAGTGATACATTTAAGGAGTTAATATCGTATGAGCCCACGTATTAAACTGATAAAAACAGATACTACACAAAGGTCAAGAAAGGTATAATCTGACTTTTGTTTTATATGAGTGTTTTAACATTTCTACAAGGTCAACATTTTTGTTTTCTATTTAGGAAATTTATCCTTTTGATCATTTGTATTTTACTAGCAATTCACAATTAGTTTATTTATTTTAATATGACAAAACAAAAGTTTAATGATTTTATTTATAGCTGGTAATGTTTAATTACTTTAATTTGACAAGAAAATATTTCGTGACTCAGAGGGTGTTGCTCGGATGGTAAGCACCCCTCATTTTCAACCCGAAGATTGCGAGTTCGAATCACCAAGGGAGCAAAAAGGGGTGGGAGCTCCTAGGGAAGGTAAAAAAAAAATTGGATAAAATTCAATGATAATACGGGAAATAAAATTTATTTCAGATGAAGCAATAATATTTGAGAGCGTCTAACTTAAAATTTTAAATGCATTGCAACTTAAGCAAACTGCAGGCTATCATGTTTTTTTTTAATGAAGAAATTAGAGTCGCGCCAATATTGGATAGAGCAGACGTAAAGCAAGCTCTTATTGGCACGGTGAATTTGACTTGTTGACTATAAAGGCTAGTATATGATTTCGGCATATAGATAATCATTCTATTTAACTTAATCTTAACTGACATTTATGCTTTTCAACTTTTATTGCGCATAAGTAGATACTTAAATTTATATAAAGTTGAACAAGTAGACATACGTGTCCTACATGTCAATTTACATGAGATACATTCGAACTGATTTGTATCATGTCACATAGGACGTACGTGTTTACATGTTCAACTTTATACAAATTTAAATGTCTACGTCTAATGAGGCCAACTTAAAGAGAATATATATATCATATTTGGATAAAAAGAGTAGTTGGAAGACAGAGAAAGTTGGTGAGGAGAGATGGAGAAAGGTATTTGGTAACTAATTTACAAGCAGCAAGTCGCTTTGCCTTGTGTATTCCATCTCTAATTCTCACGTTACCTCTATTCTTTTTTATAAAAAAGAAAACTCATAAGATTTACCTTTGAAGGAGACGAATCAACTTCCTACTGATTCCATTTTGAGCCAAATAATCGTAAATACTCACAACTTACCTTGTATTTTAAAAACCAAAGGTAATTAGTTAACAAGCTTACTCCAATCGCGCCAAATATTAGTCCTTTTGACATATTAAACTTGTCTAAAAATATTTCATGTTTGTAAAATAAGGTATTTATCACAGAAAATATTTCGTTGAATTAGTTGAGATATGTATAAGTTGGCGTGAAACATCGTGATTAAAAAAAATTTTGGAGGGGGGGGGGTGGATTTATCACTTTTTCATATTAACCCTCGCTGCTCCAATTAGTGGACAGACTATACAAGGTGTAAGATTTTACTTGTTGGGCATAAAAGCATGATATAGAGTGTTATATGCTTGTCCACTTCAAAACATGTGCTCTACAACCAAAAAACCAAATTTTAGTACTAAAAAGTTGTGGGGTTCTAATGGTCCAAACTTTTTCCAGACCCATTGTCTCTTCAAAGTATGTCTATGTGGGCTAGTGCTTTTCGTCCTGTTTAATTTTTGACATGATATACATAATTGAATCCGAATATGACAAATAGATTCTTCAAAATTCGAATCGTTGACAACACTACACAGCGATCAAATTCAATTTTGTTTTCACCAAGATAGAGAGCATAGGCACATATAGGGATTTGATAAAAATAGAGAGCTCACACAATACAAGGAGTCCAATAAACATAATCATGCATTCATTGATTTGATTATAGATATTTACTGTGAGTTGTTGAAGGTATAGTGGAAACAATGTAGCCCATCCACGAACGGGTCCAACATATAGATAAAGAATGAAGTGAGATTTCTTCAATAGCCGGAAGATGTATAATATGTGTATAACTAGTGAATAATGTATGTATATTGGCTAGCGGCTATAAATATACTTTGGCTGAGCAGACCAAATGTGTGTGTGTACCTTCCCCAAAAATGAAAAACGCAAGCAAAACATTTTATCCAATCAAGAGCCCTAATTCAAAGAAAAGAAGCCTCCTTTTCAATGTCCACCTATAATAAAACTCCTTCCAATTACAAACAAATGATATGTTCTTCTGTGGCTCATACCTGGCTGTGAGGAGTTTTGACTCGCAAATATTTTTCATGTTATCTACGAAATAAACTCTGTATATCTTGCACATTGAGGAAGGTTCATTTTCATCTTCTAAACTTTTACATAAATATCCTAGCTTCAACCGGTTGGCAAATCTTGCTAATGTAAGTTTGACCGTCTTATGTCACCCCTCCTCTTAGGGAAATGAAGAACGAATGATTCTATGTTTCTCCAACTGAACTGCATCTATGCACGTTTACTGCTGAATCCCAATGATTACTGTTGGCCTTCCATTTCCATGATCCGTTTTATATGAAGGGCAGCTCTCACAACATTTCCCCTTGTTATTATTCCCACCTTCATTATATGACAATTCACTATTTAGCATATCACAAGGTAGAGAAGTACATATGCACAAAAGCTAAGTCTCTGAATCTTACCAGCTTTCCATCACTATCTACAACAGGAAGCCGGCGATATTTTGTTTTGAGCAGAAGTCTGACAAATTAGACAAGTACAAATGAGATAAAACTGTTTGCTGCCTCGTCCTACTATGCAATAGAAACATAAAATTGGCTAAAGGAAGAACGCAGATTAAGGTGAAATTAAGAATACATGATACTACCTTGCTGCATCCTCGAGATTGGTAGACTCCCTAACTACTAGTGGAGCAGGTGTCATCAAATCACCAACCACTTTCCCCTTGGTCTTACTTATCAACTTTTGAACCTCATTGAATGTCTGCATTTACAAGTCAAGTTGGATGTGTCAGAACTTCAATAGCTTTGTTTGTGGGATCACAACAATTTTGGTTTTCCATACACAATTAAGTGCATTTTCATAGCTCCGACATACAGCAAAGCAAATGTCCTCGAGTTGAGGAAGGTAATCAGGTAACCATGTGTGCAAGTATTAGAGTAATGCAGATGATAATTAACACAAACACTGCCACCTGCACTAGTTCAGCATGGAAAAAGTAAATGCATTCAACTGTTCCAAAAGTTTCCTAAAGTAACGTGGAAATAAGAAGTCTACTAATTGATAAGGAGAACGACGGATGGTTCAGCATTGGAAGGAATATCTAGTTAGAAACATGCCATGCTAAGTACGATGAAATCCAAAACCGTATCACTTAAAAATACATAATCGTTGTGGTTCAAAAGCCACCTCAAACAATGCCCTGTAGGCTCTACAGACTCACACAAGCAGTCTGTGTTGCCTGTTTTTGCAGGATGCATTTCCTATGTTCTTTTCTTGATCAATTAATTAAAGGTTTGTTTTTAGTAGCTTGTGCAATCAGACGGAGTATAACACAATGTTATTAAGATTTGTGCCGCAGTGTAGTGTCCAATGCAACTTTCACTTGCTATTAAAGTAAATGAAAATGCCTGTAAATTGTTCAAGTCCACGGTTTTCATTTGGTCTTTTCCCCCTCTCTTTGCAATACCTTTTATCTCTCAAACTATAAAATAATTTGTCTGGATGCTTTCTTTGAGAAGGAAAAAATGCAACTTGTTATAGATTTGTGTAACAAGATCAGATTGGATGAATTTGGATATTGTGGAAGTTTGGTTTAAATTCGATTGATAGCTCAAACCTAACTAATCATTGACCTAGCGGCTAGCATTTCTATTCACCGGGTATAAGAACAGATCTGATTATAACATGTTGCTTGACCCATGAACCCATCCAAATCTATTCCCAGCTGCCAAATTCCCAACAGCTTAAGGATGGCTTCCTCAAAATGCTTGTCCAAGTGAAACTGGAAATTCTCCAAATACTAACTCGAACACTTAAGTGATCTTTACTGATGCTCTTGGTTTGCAGTTAGTTATAAGCAATTGCAAAAACAAGAAACATTTACGTTCTATCAATATGTTCATAGTAAATATCCGGCTCACAAAGCTGGTTCTATCGTTCCTACAACTGGAATCCAATGTCATCCCAGCATAATTGATAGAAGCTAATGATTAGCTTCCACATTTACTCACAGAGAAAAGAAAGGAACAGTTGATCACTAAACATTATACTTGTTAATGATTTAAAAAACTCGTGATCAGTACTTTTGTCCATATGAAGTTTCTTGGAAGAGTAAAGGTCTAAACTCTTTAAGTCCTGTTTATAAATAGAACCACTACAAATAGTGCAGCAGGTTACATGAAGAGTTGGAGAAGTAAAACAATCATGAGGTTGTCCACAATCTTGGTCATCAATCACTTTCTTTTGAGTTCCTATACATTGGAGGCTAGATCCTCTTTAGGGGACAACTATACCACTTATGATATCAATAATTAAGCATGTCAAAGATTTAACGATAAAAGTTGTTCTCTCCCCAGTTAATTTGTTGTCAGGGTCTTCATAATTATTAGATGAAGTATCCTCTTCTCTGAAAATGACTACAAGGCTAATGTTAATAGCTTTCTATGCAAAAATTAAGATTATTTGTACCTTCCTATAAGTAGAAATATTTTAAATTTGGGGTTTCTCACTGATAAAAAAAATTGTATGCAAGGAACTAGAAAATTAGATGATCAACAAGCATCCAAGAGATAATCTAGCAACAAAACAAAATATGCTTACTTTCCAGTTGCTGCCCACTTCGGGGAACATGTTTGCATCAGCTCCTCCTGTACCTAAGAAAAAGGGCAAGAGATGCACTTTATTCTCCTCTGGAGATAATGCTTTGGCAGGAGTACGAGGACTCCCAAATAATGGACAACTTTAGAATCCAACTTAAAACACTATGAT